AACTCTCGGGATCTATCAATAGCATATATGAAAATTATCTAATACTTAGATATCAGTAATACTGGACAAATGGTAAAAATCACTGCAAGTACTGGAGAGAGTTCGCCTGTCCTAGCATAGCTCATCTGGGAAGCAGAGAAGGGAAATGCTATAAATTTCATATTTGATCCCAGTCTTCTTTGTCATCAGGTTTGCATTATTAATGAAGGAGGTCTCACTTGTGAGTGCCAGTAATATATTTGTACTGGGTGCTTGTTAACATAAAGCTTAGCTTACTGTTGGTGCACTTAAGTTTCCAGAAAAAAAAAAAATCTTACGTCTGGAGCTGCAGGAAAGCAGTTACATATATTACTCAGAAATAAAAATAAAATGACAAAATATTTCTAAATGGTGTCAGAATTGAAAAACTTTCTTTTTTTTTTTTTTTCAAGTGCCAATGAAATTATTGTTTTGATTAAGGTTATTAACAAGGAAAAATAAAAAATAAAACCTTCCAAAAGTGGTTATTATATGTTAGAGTGTAAATGCAAGTATGAAAAACTTTCTTGATGCTGAAAAATAAACTGCGATCACTCAGACACACTTTCGAACCAAAGGCATGTTCATTTCCGGGGGCTAACAATGTCCGTTTTTTCAGCTGTCTGCATCACCATCCCGGTTGAGAGGTGAATTGGCCAGTGTTTCCGTGCAGGATGTTAAAATGGCATTTACATCTTTTGCGGCTCCTATGCTGTTATCTCCTTCAATTGCGCATTGAAAACTCCCCACACCCTGCTACTGAAATGCCGTTGGGAACATGTGCTGATTTTAAAATGTGCTGTGGTAAACAATTGCCAGTGGCTCCTCAGTTAGACAAATACATCTCCACAATCTCTTCGTCCCCCTTTTGGGACGAAGAGCACACATTATTGTGACCCTGACTACATAATGTTTCTATATTACCTACTACCTTGTTGTAGAATGCAACAGTTATGTCCATTTTCTCAACCAACGTTTACTGATCACCCATTCAATGCTGGAAGTCCCTGGGTGGTACAGTTAAGAGCTCAGCTGCTAACTGAAAGGTTGGCTCTTCAGAAGAAGGGCCTGGCAATCTACTTCCAAAAAATCAGCCACTGAAAGCCTTATGGAGTGTTCTACTCTGACCCACATGCAGTTGCCACGAGTCAGAATCAATACAACAGCAACTGGTTTGGGTTTTTTTTATCCTATGATGGGACCTGGTTTGCCTAGGACTTTCTTGGTTTTAGCACTGAAAGTTCAGTGCCCTGGAATACCCTCCAAAACCAAAAAAACCTGTTGCCATCGAGTAGATTCCGACTCATTGCAACCCTATTGGACAGAGTACAACTGCCCCATAGGGTTCTCAAGGAGTGTCTGGTGGATTTGAACTGCTGACCTTTTGGTTCTCAGCCAAGCTCTTAACCACTGGGCCACCAGGGCTTCCTGTTCTCCTCAGCCTGGAAGAATTCTTCAGCCTTTCCTCGTCTTTTGTGACTAACACTTGTGAAGCATACAGGCCAGTTGTTTTTAGAATGTCCTTGACTTTGGGTTTGTCTGACGTGTCCTCATGATTAGATTCGTGCTGTACATGTTCGGCATGTAAGTCATGTTATGTGGTTCTTGGTGCATCCCATCAAGAGGCACACACTATCAATTTGTCCGTTATTGGTAATGACAACTTTAATCAATTGGTTAAGGTGGGGGTCTGCCAAGTTTGTGCACTGTAAAATTACCAATTTTCCTTTTGTAATTAACAAGTAATCTGTAAGGAGATACTTTGAGATTATGTAAATATCCTGTTCCTCATCAAACTTTTACCCAACGAGTTTAGCATTCATTGATGATTCTTGCTGGGATCAATTATTACAATGATGACTGCAGAGTGGTGATTTTTCTAACTCTGTCATTCTTTCAATATTTGTTAGTTTGTGTTTGAAGATGATTTTTTTTTTTTTAATAATTGATAAAGAGACAAGGTACCTAAATCTAGAACTGGATAGAAATGACCAGCATATCTTTAAAAAATATACATACATATATATATAACAATACGTACATATATATATATAAAACAAACAACCTACACACACATTTATGCCAGGAATGGTGAGCAGAAAAAAGACTACCTCTTTCACTACACACTCCCACTTGTGGATTGAATTATGTCTTCCAACTATGTGTGTCAACTTGGCTAGGCCATGATTCTCAGTATTGTGTGATTGTCCACCATTTTGTCATCTGATGTGATTTTCCAAAGTGTTATAAATCCTACCTCTATGATGTTAATGAGATGGGATTAAAGGCCCTTATGTTAACGAGGCAATACTCAATCTACAAGATTAGCTTTTGTCTTAAATCAATCTCTGTAGAGATACAAAAGAGAGAAGCAAGCAGAGAGACAGGGCGACTTCATACCACCACGAAACAAGAGCCAGGAGAACAGCACATACTTTGGACCCAGGGTCCCTGCGCTGAAAAGCTCCTTGACCAGGGAAGATTGATGACAAGGACCTTCCCCCAGAGCCGACAGAGAGAGAAAGCTTCTCCCTGGAGCTGGCACCCTGAATTTGGACTTCTAGCCTTCTAGACTGCAAGAGAATGAATTTCCCGTTGTTAGAGCCACCCATTTGTGGTATTTCTGTTATAGCAGCATGAGATGACTAAGACATCCCCTTACCCAGTGAGATGGGCTGGAAGGAGAGCCAGCAAGGCAGCCTTGGGGCCAAGGTCAGCAGGAACCGGTCATTCAGAGAGTGTAGATTTCAAGCCACCCTAAACCTTTCCTCTGTATAAGCTAGTTCTTGGAATATTATTACTCTTGGGTTTTTTTTTTACCCTCTAAAAAAAAAGTAACATCACCTTCTTTGACAATTTGCGCCAGGTTCTCAGATTCAGCATTCTGGTCATCTTCTGCACTTTATAGGTGAGCAGACCTTTCGAATGACTGAAGCCTCTGTCATCAGCAGAATCACAGATAAGTGAGGGCCAAAACTGTACAATTCTGGAACTACTGAGAAGCATGACTAGGGACAAAAGAAAATATCAGAGGTCTTTTATATCTCTGTGCTCACTCATAAACCTGATGAGCAAACCCATTGTTGTCGAGTCAATTCTGACTCATAGCGACCCTATAGGACAGAGTAGAATGGCCCCATAGGATTTCCAAGGAGTGCCTGATAGATTCTAACGCCAACTTCTTGGTTAGCAGTTGAGCTCTTAACCACTGTGCCACTAGGGCTCCAAACCTAATGAGAGACGTTTGAAAATTTCTCTCCAATCTGTCTTCCATGCACAACAAACACAGAAAACTTTGGAAATATCGCATTGATGAAGGGTAGGGTTGCACAGGCCATTATTGTAATTGCCATCGATGAGTTTTACACCTGTAAAAAGTTGAATTGGTAAAAGTTGTGTGATAGATATATTTACAGCAACAACAAAACAACAGCAAAAAAAAGAGTAGCTGCTGAGACTGCTTATGTACAACTAGAACCTCATGGGATTTGGTTTCTTGCTTTGGAGGTTTAGGGTCATGGTTTCATGGGACATCCCAGTTAGTTGGCCCAATAACATATTTAGTGCTTCTGTTCTACCTCATAGTTCATTGTGCAGGCACAACAATTCGTCTCTATTTTCCTAGAACAATAGAGGAAGAAGGCGAGTCAGGAATAGGAGGAGGATATGGAATGTGTGGCTAATTGCCTCCATGAACAACTGCCTCCTTTGCCATGAGACCAAAAGAACTGGATGGTGCCTGGCTACCATTAGTGAACATGTTGATCAAAGATCTTATGAAAAAATCCTGATCAAAAGGGGGAAAATGCACAAGAGAATTTCAAATTCTCATGGACTCCAGACATCCTAAAGCCATGAAGATTGCGTGAACCCCTGAAACTCTTCCCCTGAGATAATCTTTACACCTTACACCAAAAATATCCCCTGAAGTCTTAAAACCAAAAATTCAGACTCAAAGTGACCCTATAGGACAGAGTAGAACTGCCCTATTGGGTTTCCAAGACTGTAATCTTTACAGGAACAGACTGCCGCATATTTCTCTTGCGGGGCTGCTGGTTAGCTGCCCAGTGCTTTAACCACTGCACCACCAGTGCTCCTACACCAAACAATAGTTTAGCTTAACTAGTAAAAAATGTCTGCCTTGAGCATTATGCTCTTTTAAGAACTATCTACATGGGATCAAATGGACAACAGCAACTTGAAAGATTAGATAGGAACCTTAGGGGGCAGTGAATTTATGTTAATGAGGGAAGAACAACTCAGAAAAGGAGAGTGAGAGTGGTTGCACAACTCAAAGAATGTCATCAATGTCTCTGAATTGTCCCTGAAGAAACTGTTGGATTGGTGTATGTTTTGCTGTGTAGATTCTCAACAACAACAGCAAAATAAATAAAATTATTAAAAAGAATGGTTTTTCTCTTTCTGGTGCCTGGGATGTTTAAGTGGGTTTGGTTTACTGCTTGCAATCCAAGTGTGTGCAGTATGGGTTTATCAGTTGTACGAGAGCAGAGGTTACAGCAGCTGAATTTAGTGACAATATTCATTTCTTGCAGAAGCGAGTAGACCACTGGGGAAAGTGTTGTATCTCTTGGTGCATTTATCTGACAGCCAGGCAATGAACACTAAAGAATGTATTCCAAGTATTTGAGATAGGGACTCCCAGAGGGAGAGGAGCTCGAAGCCAAGTTAGTTGCTTCATGAGTTTTTAATTCAAAGGCTAGAAGGGCAGAAAAGATGGAAAACAGAAAGCCAATTACCTGAGAACCCTCTGCCAGGAGCTACAGGAAGACTGAGTGGGGCGGAAGAGAGACTTGCCTGGGCAATAAAGTCCGTAGCACTGTGTCTGTCCCTTAAAGCTGATGAAGAGTTTGTGCTTGTCATACCACAGGTTCTTTAAAGTTCACCCTCATTACGTCCTTGTGTAGAAAGGGGTGACAACCTTGAGGAGAATATTCACTCCCTTTCCTTGGTTTCTTGGTCAGGTCGCAGACATAAAAGAGAAGCTGAAGCTCTCTAAAAAGGTCTGGTCGGCTTTACCCTACACCATCTGCAAGGATGAGAGCGTGACAGCGGGCACGTCGAACGAAGAGGAATGCTGGAACGGGCACAGCAAAGCCAGGTGAGGCGGGGCTCGCGGTTCACATGGACAGGGCACTGCACATCTAGTCTTGGAAGACTCTCCTGGCACAACTCTGCAGACCTGTTTATGGAAAAAGCAACGGAGGGTGGAGGGGCAAGTCGTCACTTAGCGACAGCTGTTCAGAGTGACAGGTTTGATGGGCGCCAGGGAGCACTTACTCTCAAGGTGCCATTAAGTGTGGAATCCTCGTTCTGCATGCCTCGCCTCTGGATGAGGACAGAGGGCTGGTGACAGATGCCAGGCTGTAGACATTCTGAGATCTCAAAGAGCCCTTTTATGTTCGCTTAATGACTCTAAGATACTGGAGCTATTTTTATCCATAGTTAAATTTGCACAGCTTTTTTTTTCTTTTCCATCACAAGTTAAAGCAGGAAATGAAAATTCAATTATAATTTTGCTCCACCATCAGAGGAAAAAATGCGGCCGAAGTGTTCACTGGAAGGGTAAAATGACTGAGAGAGCACTGGGGAAGGGTTGTAATGGGCCCTGTGCCTTGCGAAGCCCCATCGGAATCTCCTGATGAGAGATGGCTCTGTTTTTCTTCCTTCTGCTCTGCTGACCAATGGTGCAGTGAGTTGGTATGGAATTTCTGCAGTTCTTGATGCAGCCTAGGAGTGGGGTTGGCCTGGTTTTCATAGGGTGGAGAAGGTGGATGGGGGAACTGGTTGGGAGTTGGCATGCAGGGCAGGACACCAGGCGAGGAGTCTGCCTGAGCCCTCATCGGCAGGGTTGTAGGTGGATAGAGCAGCTGGTAAATTGGACTCAAGGAATCTTTGGGGATTGGCCAACAGGTGGAGAAGCTAAGAGGGAAGTCTGTTCTGGGGCCTTATTGGGAAATTTCCATTGTTTGAACCAGCTGCAATCAAAAGGGAACAAGGCAGTACATGGATGTTAAGTTCGGTAGGAACTGCAGAAGTTAAGTAGGGGGTGCAAGTGAGAGCTCATTAGGTATTATTTCTTAATGTGGAGTTGCATTTTTTAGCATCTGTTGGTAGTGATACTAGGAAGAGCTTAGCAAGGTGAAAATAAGACAGCTACAGAAAAAGCTGTAATCATTTCACGTTGTCCCAAAATATCAATATCCAACTTTTAGCTCTCGAAGGTATGGAAGGAAATTCCTGATATTAACAACATGCCACTCAAAAGTACTTAGTTACCAGTGTCTGGTCTTTTAGGAAGGACACTTAGGCCAGCAAAGTCAGCTGTAAATGAACAATATCTAGGAATCGTTCCAGGAATGTGTCTTGGAATTGTTGTTCTAGGAATGTGTCTTTTCCTAATGACTGTACAGAAAGACCTTGTAAAGAGGATCTCCAGATGGCCTCATGAATAAAGTGGTTGATACCGAAGGCTGCACCATTGCCCATGTGTGTTTACCTTTCAGACCTGTCTAAAATGAAGGCTGTGTTTGGAACTGCATTCCCATGGATAGTTGCACAGGTTGCTGGGTATTGTTATATACATACTTCAGTTATTACAAAAGCAAATATAAAGAATTGCACAGGGTGAGGATTTGGGGGAGGGTAGCACACCCCATCAAGAAGATGAATGGGGAAGATAAGGACCATTCAAGTTAGAGCCAGAGAAGATCAGGATGATCTAGCCAACTTCTTCATTGGGTAGGTTTAAGAGTTAGTCCAAGATTACTCAGTTAACAAAGATGAAAGCTGAGAGTCTCTCAAATCCTAGCCCGGTGTTCTTTTTACTGTAATGCTCTGCCTCTAAACAAATGACGAAAAAATATGGCCACCAAGCAGCCTTTACGGAAAGGGCTGGTGAACTGCTTCCATAAAGATTACAGCCAAGAACACCCTACTGAATTGTTCTACTTTGTAACACGTTGGGATCGCCATGAGTCAGAATCAACTCGACCGGCAATGAGTTTGATTTTTTTTTTTACCCAGGTTGTTGTTGTTACTCTTAGATGCCATCGAGTAGTACTGACTCATAGCGACCCGATGTACAACAGAAGGAAACACTGCCTGGTCCTGCGCCATCCTCACAATCATTGTTATGCTTCAGCCCATTGTTACAGCCACTGTGTCAATCCATTTCGTTGAGGGTCTTCCTCTTTTTCGCTGACCGTGTACTTTATCAAGCATGACGTCCTTCTCCAGGGGCTGAGCCCTGCTGATAACATGTCCAAAATATGTGAGACGTAGTCTCGCCATCCTCCCAGGTTAGGAGACCTGAATAAAACAGAGCCTTAGCTCTATAAAAGATTTAGTGGATCTGCTTTAGTTTGTTCATTCCATCAGTCCATCAGCAATATTGTTAAGCAGCCCCTCTGTCAAAGCTCTGAGAATTAAGCGCTATAAGATGGCAATGCGTTTAACACGTGCAAAGGCACGGTGGCTGGACAAAGTATGGTGATCTGGAAACTTCAAGTACTAGACAGCTGGACTGTAAGTTTGGGAAGCGGCCACAGAAATGGAGACACGACTGGATTAGTATCATGGATCAGATTTGAATTTTATCCTGAGTTCAATGAGAAGTCATTGGAGGATTTTATGTAGGTGAGAGAAATGATCAGGTTAATGCAATAAAATTATTTGCAGGGGTATTCTGCAAGATCATTAAATACAGTGAATCTTTTATTATGTAGTAAGTATGTTGTTAAAAAAGATGAGGTTGTTGAATATTTTTGACTTAAATTATGTTCACATTGAAAAATTATAATTTCATAGTTTATTTTAGCTCCTTTTTCATTATTCTTCCACTGGAAGTGAATCTGAATATTATAAGTTTATTTTTAATAGCATAGTAAGAACGGATGACGACTTCTTAAGTTTAATGGAAGCTTTCTTTCCACTCAAATATTAATTGATCTAGAAACACATGCCTAAGTGCATGAAAGAAGTTCTTCATTTAAAGAAATTTTACTGAATTATTTTGTAAGTTGAAGAATCCTTTTGTAATGCTGCTATTTTTTTTTTCTACTTTCAAAGTATAGATTTTCAGATGACAGATCTTAAATGTTTAGGAATGCTTGTAAAAAAAAAAAAAGAAAATATAGTCAGATTATTCTTATCACCCATGTGAAATAAAAGAACTAGAACGTTTATTTAAAAAAACTAGTGGAAGTGTTAATGGATATGTAACAGACAGGCTTATTAACACTAGCAGAGATTTGTCCTGATCTGGAGTTTATAAACCCAAGCCTGAAGGATGAGGTCACCAATAAATCAGGCGTTTTCTCTCTTTCTGTTTTATTTGTCAGACTCCCGCACCCACTTTCTTCTCTTCAGACCCACCCTGCAGCCCTTTTGAGTATTTGATCAGGCTTTTCTTCCATCACCCACATTTTTTCTGATTATTTTCTGAATCTTACCCCACAGCTCTTTACATATTTCCTTGATTCAGAAACATACTAACTTTGCATTTGAACATTTCTGGAATCAAAATGACTCTTACAGTGGGTATGTACATCTACTGCGGTGATTATCTTGTTTTCCCAAAAAGCTGTTGCTAATGGCACCTGTCGAAACCCATGCTGACTTGAAATTGAGAGAACAAGATACACAGAGATGTGGCTGGTATGGCGGCCATGGGTTGGAAGCTGCTGTGTTGAGAGCGAGGGTGTGTGTCCGCTTGGATATGAACTCACCCCCAGCCCCTCACCCACCCTCACCCCACGTCAGCAGATCTCACTCTGCCCTGTAGCTAAGCAGGCCTGGAGACAGGAAGCGCGTTAGGAGAGGGAGACGTTTGCCCATTGATGGGTGGGAATTGTGGTGTGCCCCGGGACCCGATTACATTCATTCCGACTGCAAGACCAGGTGGTCCGGAGACCCTCTCCCCTCCTTCCCCTCTCTTTCCAACCTCCTGAGACAGTGTGAGGATCAAGGAGATAATATCTATGAACTCTCGAAAAATGCTTCTCCAGCTTTAACGTGCAGGCTACACTTTGCAGGATCTTGTTAAAATGCTGATTCTGATTCACTGAGTTTGAAGTGGGGCTAGAGATTCTGCATTTCTAGGGGACGCGGTTGTTGCTGGTTCAGGGACCGCACTTGGAGTTGCAAGGTGCTAAGGCAGGATTGCCAGATTTAACAAATAAAAATATAGGATACCAAGCGTGACATACTTTTACTAAAAAGTGTGTTTGTTACTTATCTGAAATCCCACTTTAGCTGGGTTTCCTATATTTTATCCGGCAACTCTAAGGCCCTATTAAGATGTAAGATATTCTCTTTTTCAGTTCATACATAAGCCTCGGGGAGCATGTTATAATTTTTTGTTTTCTCTTTGCTTTCACGGATACCCTTGATGTTTCCTTTAATGGAGCTTTGCTAATATTAAACACAACCGAAGCAGTAGGGGAGATAACATGATTCAGTAGTGGTTAAGAGTTCAGCTGCTAACCAAAAGGTCCGCAGTTCGAATCCACCAGGTGCTCCTTGGAAACCCTATGGGGCAGTTCTACTCTGTCCCATAGGGTCGCTATGAGTAGGAATCGACTAGATGGCAATGGGGTTTTTTTGTTTGTTTGTTTTTTGTTTTTTCACTGTGGATAGCCAGGGAAGATAGGCAAAGGTGAAGTCATCTCAGCAACAAACTGTTTAGGCTTCACGTGTGCCTCAGGAGAGAATTTTGATATCGTCCATACAGACCTCTGGTCTCAAACGGGGGATGCCATTGTTTGGCCAAGGATGAGATGAATACTCAGAATCATTGGTCAGTAATTGATTCAATTCATACTCCAAATCCCATCCTAGTTATCAGAAGGGCTAACTGAGGATTTTCCTCCGCGTTTACCAGAGTGTCTGTCAAAGAAGGAAGGCAGCCTTGGAAGCGTTTTCTGTGCATTTTCAGGAGAAAAGAGCTTGGAAGTGCAGCTTCCATTCTTGCCATTTCTCACTCACCTCAGCATCTTAGGTGGGAAGTGGAAGAAGACGCGGCAGCATTTTGACTTGACTCAGACAAATAGGAGTTGAAAGGAAGCTAGTAAGTAATGGAGGAAAATCGATAACAATCTAGAAGGCCCAGGGAAAAAAAATCAAAGACTCGTGGTGCAGCTTACAAATCTAGGCCTCCTCAAGATGCCGGCGTCAACCGAGAGAGACTAGGAGGATGTTTGCAGCCATTCGTCATTCCTGGGAAGGGCGTCCTGGGCAGCCAGGTGGCCGGAATGAGCTGTCGGTGAGGGAGCTGGGGAAGAATGATGAGATGGGCGGCAGGAAAGCATAGACTTGGAAGGAAATAAAACTTTTCTACGGTTAGCATACAAAGATTAGAACTTTGTCTGGTAGCAGCCGAAGAGGGAAAAGAGCCCTGATGGCGTTCACGGAGGCTTCTGCCTTTTCGCTCACAGAGAGGCACATTCTGCTTTTCTCAGGACGTTTGTTGTTAGCTATCACAGAGTGGGCCCCCGACTTACGGCGACCCCGCGTACCGTGCTGCTCTGCCCTGTCCCATCTTCATGATTGGATTGGACCATTGCGATCGGTAGAGTTTTCATTGGCTGATTTTCAGAAGTAGATTGCCACGCCTTTCTTCCTAGTCCCTCTTAGACTTGAAGCTGCCCTGAAACTTGGTCAGCAATAGGCAACCCTCCACTGACAGATGGTGACTCGTATAAAGAGGATTGACCAGAATCGACCCTGGTCGCCTGCGTGGGGCACAAAATCTAGCGCTGAACCACCAGTACCTCGTTCTTTAGGACGCAGCCGTATCAAACTCTATCTTCTGTAGCTTTCTTGCGGATTGCTTTCTCTTCACGGAGTTCCTTTTTCTAAACTCAGAGAGGTTGAAAAGGAAAAGTGAGTATGGGAGAGAACAGGGTGGGGCTGGAAGAAGGCAAATGAAAGCCGATCCGAGAGTCCAGCCCCACCGGCACACCGGGTGTGTGACAGGGCATAAAATATTTCAGAGTCTTCGAGGCCTCTTGAGTCAGTCATTTCCAGACCTCTCCCCTTCCCCTCTAAAACTCTGAATACAGCCTTCCACCTTTGCCTCTTGTAAGGTGGCGTAAACAGTCTGCCCTCGAATGATAACCTAAAAGTTGGCAGTTCAAACCCACCCAGTGATACTGCAGAAGAAAGGCCTGGCAATCAGATTCTGAAAGGTCACAGCCTTAAAAACTCTGTAGAGCAGTTCTACTCTGCACACATGGGGTCACCATGGTCAGAATCTGCTGGACAGCAACCAACAGTAACAACAACAAAGGCAGGATTTAGCTCTCAATCTGTCCTTTGTTTAAAACGCCTTCAGGGAGACGGTGATCAAGGAGCTGGCTGAGGATTAATTGGATCCATTGGAAACAGAGCTTTTTCAGGGAGCCTCTTCTGTATTTCAAGCCAGCTGATCCTCACAGAAATAACTGTGTCCCTAAGGCCAGGAGGTAAATACAGTAAATTGAAAGAAATAGGAAAAGTAGAAAAATCTAGAAAGTAGATCAAGCACTCTCCCAAGTCACAGAGGGGATTGACTAACCAAGGAAAATAGCAAGACATGACTGGATAAGTCTGAGCAGATGGAAGAAGGGCGAAAGGATGCATTGTGATGAGAAATCTGTCAACGAGAGTGACTCGGCAGGATCGGGCAGGATAATATTGCTTTACTCTGATTGGGGAAATAGGTCCCAAAGCAAGTCAGCTACAGTTTAAAGAACTGTCAAATGTTCAATATAGACCAGGCCCTGCTGGTGTGCCCATTTAGTCTCGTATACATGGTTGAGCGATGTGTATTATTGCTTGTTTTATGGGCCTAAGACACTTCCACTTTTGCTGGAGATAAGGGTTATGCAAAGAGACCAAACACAATTGCCAACAAAATAAATGGCCTCGTGAGGTCCTGGGCTCCCACTGATTCCTCCAGGTGCACTCCCGACATCAGGGACATCCATGAATTTAGCCTCAGGCTCTCCCTCTCGAGTGGCAGAGTAGCCAATGTATTTATTTTTTTATTGTGGTAAATATATATAACATAAAATTTGCCATCTTAACCATTTTATGTGTGCAATTCAGTGACATGAATTATATTCACCATGTTGTGGAAACCTCCCCCCATCCATTTCAAAAAATGTTTTAATCATCCCAAACAATATCCACACTCAATACCCCTAAGAAATACCTCCCCCTTCTCACCTTTCCCTTATAAGTGAGATCATATATTTGTCCTTTTATGTCTGACGTTTCACTTAGCATAATGTTTTCCAGGTTCATCCATGTTGTAGCATGTAGCAGAATTTCGTTTCCCTTTGCGGCTGAGTAATATTCCATTGTCTGTATATACCACCTTTTGTTTATCTATTCATCGGTTGATGGAATTTTGTGTTGTTTCTACTTTTTGGCTATTGTGAACAATGAACATTGAACTGCAGTGAACATTGGTTTACAAGTATCTGTTTGAATCCTTGCTTTCGGTTCTTTTGGGCATATACACCTAGAAGTGGGATTGCGGGGTCATATGGTAATACTGTTTAACTTCTGAAGAACAGCCGAGTTGTTTTCCACGCGGTCTGCACCAGTTTACACTCCCGCCAGCAATGCATTTGTTACTGTTGGTAGTTGACATGGAGTGGATTCCAGCTCATGGAGAGCTCATGTGACCCCATATGTGCAAAGTAGAACTGCTCCATAGGGTTTTCAAGGCTGTGACCTTTCAGGAGCAAATCGGCAGGCACCTCTGCGTGGGTTCGAACCACCAAACTTTAAGGCTACTGGTTGGGCGCTTAACCTTTTGTGCCACCCAAGCACTCTTCCAGCAATGCAGAAGTGTTCCAGTTTCTCCACATCCTCTCCAACACTTGTTATTGCCTTTTTTTTTTCCTTCAAATAATAGCCATCCTAGTGTGGGTAAAGTGATATCTCATTGTGGTTTTGATTTGCATTTCCTTAATGACTAATGGGAATCCCCAGGGGGTGCAAATGGTTAAGGTGCATGGCTGCTAACCAAAAGATTGGAGGTTCAAATCCACCCAGAGGCTCCCCAGAAGAAAGGCCTGGAGTCTACTTCCGAAAAATCAGCCACTGAAAGCCCTGTGGAAGACAGTTCTACTTTGACGCACGCGGGGCCTCCATGAATCAGAATCAACTTGACAGTAATGACTCATGATGTTGAGCATCTTTTCACGTGCTTATTGGCCATTTGTATATCTCCCTTGGAGAAATGTCTATTCAAGTGCTTTGTCTATTTTTTAATTGGGTAGTTTGTCTTTTTCTTGATGCCAGTTTCTTTTTCAACTGTGTTTTAAGTTTCCACTTTGTTTCTAAAGTTGCCCTTTGAATACACCAAAAGGAGAAAAGGTTTTTGAGGACACAGGTGCATTGCTGCTTGTTTTTATTGTAAGCGGCTGAGCATCAGTAGGCACAGTTAGAAGCTGGGTTTACTTGGCAGTCTCTTATTGTTCGTGGATGTTCAGACTCCCAGGGGTAGCATTCCCAGGCACGCTATCACAGTCAGCTTCTGATAAATGAGTCTCGGCTAGCCGTGCAGTGTGCACAGCGTATGAAAGAAACGAGCCCACCTCTGACTCAGCAGAGGGACATCTGCGGGAGTCATTTTCCGAAACGCAGAAGAGCCACGCCAGAACTGGCGGTCACCTTGCAGCCCCTTTCAATCCCAGCATCAGCGAAGTGCAATAGCATGCACCTGCGATTATGTATTCCAGTGGGCTTTAGCAATTAGGTCGAGCTCATGGCGCCTAGCACATATAATTACCTGTCAATAACAGTCAACCCAATGTCATATTTTACAAGTTATATCCAGAAGACAATCTCCGAGCCTAACAAGAATTTATTTACATATCAAATATGGTAAAAGGCAGGACAAAAGTTATGCTTCACTGCAAAAATAAAGAGATATAATTTCATGACTTTTCTTTTAATTCCTATGAGGACGTTTTCGAGGGCAGTAAATACTGTGATGTTTCATGGAAAGGAATTTGCGATGCACTCTGTGTGTTTTATTGTTCATTATTTAGTGAACATGAAGTTGATTTTGTTCAAGATATGGATGAAGACATGGCACTTATTCTGGGGACCTCTGATTTACAATGAGTAAACCAATTCATACACAAATATATCATGTGGAAGATTTAATACCTGAAAGGGGGCTTAAATATAAAGCTTCTCTGTGTGTTTCTATTTCTTCATTTGGAGGCTGGTGGATAGAACTTTTGGTTCCCAGAATTGGAAAATGATTTGCAGGAAGGGTAAGAATTTTAAGCATAAGTATATTATATTAGACTGTGTAAATAGAAATGACAAAATAAAAGATTTTTTTAAGCTTTCAAGCAATGATAACAGATGCAGTGAGCAAATAATAATTGCAGTTAGGCAGGGCAGCCACCAGCCTCTAGGATGCCTGTATTGGATGGTGATTCCCCGAGGTCCACTCTTCACCACCTCCCCGGCCCACCTTGGCCTGTGTCCTGAAGGAGAGCCTCTTCAGACTGTATTACCTGGGCTCATTGGCCTGTGTCCTGAAGGAGAGCCTCTACAGACTGTATTACCTGGGCTCCTTTACCCTCTGGCTTCCAGTTGGGTTCAGCCAATGGGAGGCAGCAGCTGGAGGTCAGAAGGAGGAAGGAGAGAGGCCAGGATCTCATTCTCCCAGCTCTCTCCCTGAAGGACGTTGACTTGGCAGTTGCTGTGTCCTTTACCTCTTCTCTGTGGTTTTAGCCCTACTGGGTTCTGGTAACAGCTTCCTTCCCTTGCTCCCACCTGCTGTTCCACCCTTGCTGGTTTCCTTTAATCTTGTCTGAAGTCCACTGCCATCGAGTCTATTCCAACTCGTAGCGACCCTGTAGGACAGAGGAGAACTGCCCCATAGGGTTTCTAAGGCTGTAATCTTTACGGAAGCAGACTGCCACATCATTCTCCCATGGAGCGGCTGGTGGGTTAGAACCGCCGACCTTTTGGTTAGCAGCCGAGGACTTAGCCACTGTGCCACTAGGTCTCCTTATAAGATGCATGCAGGGAGTAGATTCTCTAAGGAGAGGGGAATCCCTTGAAGGGAGTTTTGCTGCATAAGAAAGTAGAGGCTGAATGGAGGTGGTCTTTGATGGCTAAGCTACAAAGCGTAAACTATAATTTAGGATCGGCCAGGCAGTGTGGTACAGCGTTTGAACACGTGAGTTCTGGAGCTAGGCTTCCTGGGCTTAATTTATGGTTTTGCCATCTATTAGCCTGTGACTTTGGGCAGTTACTTTTTCTTGCTAAGCCTTGGTTTTCTATTTTGTAAAATGGAGATAAAATTATACCTACCTCATAGATTTACCAGCAAACGCAGTTAAAAATGCTTGTAAAGTCTACAATGCAGATGAACCTTAAAACATGGTGCTGAGTGAGACAGGTCTGTCACGTACGGATTGTATGATTTCATCTACATGATCTGTCTAGGATGGGCAAGTGTATAGAGACCAACATTTATTAGTGGTTCTCAGGGGTAGGTGGAGGGAGGGGAAAAAGGGATTCATTGCTTAAGGGATACTGAGCTTCTGTCAAAGGTGATGGGGAAATTTGGAAACAGATGATGACAATAGTTGAACAACACGATAGACATAAGTAATGTCATTGAATTGTACAGGTGAAGAATGATGAAATGGCAAATGATTTGTTATGTATTTACCACAATTTAAAAAATGAAAAAAAAAATTTTAATGTATGTCAAGTGCTTAGCACAGTGCCTGGCATTTAGTTAGTGCTCAGTGGGCTTTAGCTATTAACATTGAAAGTTTTTAAACAGAAGAGTAACAGGATGAAAGCACTATTTAATGGCGATGGATTAGACAACGTGTTGCAGGGTGCACTAGAAAGGAAAGCAGAAGGCAGGGAAGTCAACTTGAGGCTGCTGTGTCATCTATACTCCAGGGAGGGACATAGAGGAAGCAGGTGTGAGAATCTTCATGAGAAGAAGAGTAAGAAGACTGGAAAATTGACAGGTCATGAGTGTGAGAAGGAGTCCGAGAGGGTTCCAAGCACTTTTCTAAGATTGTTAGCCTCCACTGGTATAAATAAACCGAGGTGGCTTAGGCAGTTGACGTTGAAGGACTGACAATTTTTTTT